TATGTATATATGTATGTATATATGTATATATGTATGTATATATGTATATGCCCAAATTGCATGACAAAAGCTAGCAATTGAAAAAGAGGTGAAAGTACCATAAATAGAGGCCAACCACGTCCAGCATCAAGTATTTCTGAAATATAGTAACACATACTGGATGGATCTGAGACATTTATGTATCTAACTCGGCTTCTAAATCCTGCATCAATTAATTTAGTTTGCATAAATACACGTCTTATAGACTCAATTAATCAGTGGCATAGAAGTTGCAATTCATTACAACCAAGTATACATACCCTTTGGAAATATAGCCTGACTGCTACACCAAGACTTTCCAGAAAGCACAACCCCAAATTCTAATGGTTCAACATTGCAGTTGATGCGCCGGACAACCTTCGCTATCCGAGGACCTTTCTGTCGGAAATTGTTTGGACCAGAAGAAAAGTTCCCATTAACAGCTCTCGCATTGTCTGCTACATTAGAAGTGGAACATCCTCCAAATTTTTCGTGATTATCTTCAGTCTTAACCTTAGTGCCAGAAAGTTGTAGGTTCAGAGGAGACATCACCAAACTTTCCAAACAATGATCACTTGCTTCTACTTTTGAAGGAGCTGAAATATTTTTAGTACATTGTGCACTTGTAAGACCAATATGACAAGAAAGATCTAGTGGGGTAGAGGCTAGAACTGTTCCTGTGTATTCATGACATTCTTGTTTCACACGCAAAGACGGAATTGAATCAGAACTCATATTTTCATGGGGTAATGTCATAGCATCCCTTTCACCCATCACAGCAGTATCTGTCACAGAAATGGTCAAGTTTGTACTTTCTATATTGTTAAATGGGCTTGACTTATCTCCAGGACCTACAAGCATAGAAGAAAGTTCCTTCCTTCTATTTGAATCAGACATCTTTTCGTCTTCTTCATCGTCACTAAGAAGTATAACGTTGTTATGCCTGTAAAGTGAACTTTTATCACCTCCTTGTTGAGCTAGAGTAGATAAAGCATACGATGTATCCTCCTGAGACAATTGACAACCAGGTGTTTTCCTCTTTGAGCTGCAAATGACAGATTCTTCCTTACTAACACAGATCTTATGATTAGGAATATCAGATGTAGGTTTTGAGCTGTTAAATGTTAGCAAGTCCTTAGTTGAACTCAAAAATGAAATAGCTTCAGCTGATTTTCTCTGTTGAAAATAGCTCTGATCTTTGCTATTTGCTTGATTCTCTATTGGGACGTCAATCAATTGAGAATCATCAATATATTTATTTGGTGGATGCAAAGCCGTCTCTTTATTCAAAGTGGCCCTGGAAGAATGAAACAAACTAGATGAATGTGATTTCAATTCTTTAAGTATTGTTTCCTTGCCTGATGAAACATCAGATGATAGTGCCAGCCCAAGATCTGATTTTGCCCATCTGTAGATTGCACTTAATTTTCCTTCCAATGCCTCCACCAGAATATTTAGTTCAGCAACATCATACCGAAAGAGAAAAAATCTGGAATCCCAAGAGCATGAACAAAGCTGCTTTGCATGATCCAAGCAAGCATATCTATCTGGGGAACAGCGACAGCCAGCTGCAGATAGGTGTAAATCAAAAAAGCATATGTTACATTCCCTTTCATCCGTAGCATCAAAGGTACTCTCCATTTTTAATGCCTGTAGAGAACTGCAGAGAAATTCTCTTCTTGCTCGTTCCATCTCAACACGCATCTAGATAGGAAATCACAAGTAACACAGGAAAAGAGATTATTAATATTAAAATTAAATAGAAGGTACTGGTGGTGATGTAATTTTATAGAATTTGCATTTAACTTTGATTAATTTTTTCAATATTTTAGTCTTTTCTTGGCAGGGTGGAGAAGGGGAAGGAGAACACTTATTAATCAGAAGAATGAATTTCAATTACTTTTTGAAATTGTAATTGACAGATAATAATTGCTCTACCGTAAAAAGGTTCCTATTAAAACAAGATCCTCAAATGTTAATCAAATAGAACAAAAGTTCCAGAATTTAATTACAATATTGGGGACTTAGAACAAAAGTTCCAGTGTTCAGGAGCCTGATCCTTGGCAACCCCCATTTTTCTTTATAAATTTGAATCTCACAAAAAAGGAAAGAAGGCCTATGCATTATTTAGACTTCAAGTTTAAAAACATCTATTGCGGTGCATGACATTGATGAGAGTGAATGTTCAAATAAAAACCGAAATTCCTAGGATAACTAGTTAATGACACAGGAATCATTGAATTTTGATTTTTCCTGTTCTTTCTTTTTATTGCAATTTTGGGTAACAATCCTTGTTCATCTGTATGGAAATATCTTTCTACCTCTAAAAATAAACTTAATAAAAAAACATTTAAATTCAATCTAGCACGTTATGCTTTCAGTTTACAGACTCTCCACAATCAAATAACACAATACAGAAGAAAAAAAAAAGCCAAGGTGGGGTAGGAGAACGGGATGAACAGACAAAATCCAAAAGCACTGATGGTGAGTGAGGTTTTCAGATCAAAACCCAAAGTGTGGATTGCCAAGCTGATTTTTATCGTAATTAACAATTTGTATCGAATGGCATGATTCAAATATAATGTAAAAATATTTTCAAACATATCATATAGACGATTTACAATGCTCAATGTAATAATTTTAAACTTGAAACTGATAAAATGACTTAACAACATGAATCATACAAAAAAAGTATAATTTATATGTGAAACCACTATTTTAGAAAATGGAAACTAAACAATGAAATAGCCTAATAAAGTGCATGCACTGATTGAGTAAGCAACAAAGTATTGGAATAATAAAATAGGATAAATTTAGAAGAGGTCCTTTATTTCCTTTTCATTAACAATTTAAGCTCGTGTCAATTTTCAATTTTTTTCTTGAGAATCAAGAACAGTAAAAACATGAAAACAAAAATGAAGAATCTTTGAATAGTATGATTTGTGTCAAGGATATGAAACTGTACCAAGTCACTCAAACGTCATAAGATTCAAAGTCATCTGAAATTCATCTTTAGATATGAATCAATAGGTGGCATATTGAAGGAATTAAACTGTGAACCAGAAGATTCTTATAACTATAAACAAGACTATTTAAACATCAACTCCCTTGTTATGGTCATGACATAAGTTAATACAAAATCATAACTATCATCCACTCGGTACTGCATTACAGGGACTAGGGAGAAGCATAATATACCTTAAGTGCTTTGGCCAAAAAGCCATCCTTTCCACAGACATCCTTCCATCGTAGATTATCCAAAGTATTCTTCTTTAGCAAATTAAGCTCCCATTGAGCTCGAACTGCTTCCCTTGCAGCCCCAAGCAACAGCTTATCATGTGATATAGAAGTCTTGCGCCCCTGTTCCTGGTACAACTCTATAGCAATATGCCCATGGGGCAGCCAGTCAACAGGAGCTACATTAACAGCCTCAGCACAGTTGAAACCGCAATTGAACCCTGAGTGGTAGGCTCGAGGAAATGTCAGAACAAAGTCCCCAGGGTTTTGCACACACCTATAAACTGGTACTCCTTTAGACTTGAGGATAGAAGGAGAAAGTTGAGTGACCTGCAACAAGTTAGAAATGCAAGCAGCAGATAAATATACGCCGAAAGAAATAAACAACATCATCCAACATAATTATTTACTGCTTAATAGTAAAAATATGGACAGGTAATGGAGATGTAAAATATGAAACTCCACTAAATGAAAACATAAGTTTAATTTTTTGCCACCTCTGAAGCAGATAAAACAAACAAGATCAAATGTTGTTTGCCAAGTAATAGAAAAACTTTTACTAACCAGCTTATGAAGCAAGTCAGGCTGTTCTTCAAAAAGTTCTGGTAAATGCTTTCTCATAGCCTCTTCTAATTTGCAGGCATCTCTTCCAGGGACTCCATACCACAATTTTGGAGCTCCCCAATGCATGTAGTTCAATGAATATAAATGGTGGTCTTCAACATGCTGCATTCACAATTAAACCATAGAGAAAATATATAGTTGTTACAAACTACGGATCCTATGCCAACTAAGGACTCACTCTGCCACACATAAACACTCATGCAACATCAACAAATTGCCACTCAACACAAAAATAGTCCTGTTATTTTGGTTTAGCAAACAAATCAGAGCAAAATGATATCACCTATGTTATGTGTCCCTTTACTCTCACACAAATGCACATCCTTTCCATCCTCAAAGAACATTCGAAGTCACAAAAACACGCAAGTATGTACCTGACACCTATTATCAATAGACTACATAGATACAGATACATTCCAAGATATCTGATACAGATTTAATTTAGTTGAATTTAATTCAATTTATATCAGACTTTACTCGTATTGCGTAAACAGCCTATTTTGGCAATATTTACTGTGCATTATAAACCTCACACCAAAAAAGCTAGCAGCAGTTGTTGGAGAGACGAAGACCATATGAACCTCACACTACAATCTCATATTTCCAATGTGGGATTCAAGTCCCATACCTTACAATTGGAAACTAACATCCCATCAGACATCGCAGCCTAAGCTCCCACGAGGACTGGCTATGAACTATCCCTTTTACTAATCCAAGGAAAACCTATGCAACTAACACGGTGGAAGCTCTGATACCAATTCATAAGAACCTTGGGAGAACCACACCATAAAAGCTAGCTACGGTAGCTGGAAAGCCCAAGGCCTTATGAACCTCACTCTAGAATCTGATACAACCAATGAGGAACTCAACTCCCATACTTTAGGGACGGATCCCTAACACTTATGTAAATAGAATCATATACCAAGATTTAGCTCAATACTTTTCTTACTTTTAGCTTCTTGTTTCTATATAGGTGTCCACACACACATATATGTATATATATTCCATTATCCATGTATCCTTTTGTACAGTTAAATCAATGACAAATAACGTATTTTTTTCATTCTTTTTCTTTGGTCCCAAGCACTGTAAACACAAATTGTGATTAGTTCAATGAAATACATGCTAGAAAATAAGGAAAATATGCAGTCCTTACCCAACAAAAGGAGGAAAAGCACATTCCAATGTATAACCACGGCACTAAAACACCAGATATATCACTGCTCTCATAAGAGAGCAGAGATCCAGGAAGCCTTGCAAAGTTATTTAAATTCCAGCCAGACTTTATGTATTTTTCATGTGAAGCAGAACCTAGCTGACTAGATTTACTAGGGAAACCACTCCCAAAAATTCCAGTTTCCAGATCAGCTCCATAAAGCACCTGGAAGTGATAGAAAATTAAATGTAAGCAGCGCAGCATAAAATAAGGGCAATAAATAGATAATAGTTTCGTGCAGCAGCAAATTATTAAGATTCTACAGAATGTGACCTCAATTTCTTCAGTAGGACTCTCGACCATCCGCCAATATTCACCTTCAATGCTCTCCACAGAAGGCTCTGAGGTACCATTTAAAATTGTTGTATTACCACCCAAATGAGATACGTTCTCATTTTTTCTGAAGTATTGGAGCTGAAAATCTTCTGCATATCTCTGAAATGCTTCCAAGGTAAATTCTGGACCAGGTTCAAACCCAAACCTTTCCACTTCACAAAATGCTGTATTGGGTCCTCTTCTAGTGCCATTATCCACCCCCATTCTTGTGCATCTTCTCCTTTTCCTCTTCATGTTACTTTGAACCCTTGACATTTTTCTCATTGAATCACGATTCTGAAGTTTGTCAATCCTCTGTACACGTGTAGAAAACTTAGAACCCTCCCATTTACTTTTTTCCTTGAGAGGACAGGGGGGTTTCCAAGAAGAAGGTGGAACAATGCGGCAAATTCCATATGGCTCAGCCCTGGAGCGAATGCTTGATATATATTTCAAAGTATCTTGAAACTCCTGGATAAAAATGAAAAGTCAGAGGTATGATTTCCTGATAAAGCAAACTGACAGAAGTGAATTCAAATGTGCCACAGGAACTGCACAAGACCTCTTCAGTGGGGTAGAAAACAGGAGCATCCTCAATATTTGGCCTACGAGCATCTTCAGGTCGCCATCTGGCAACAACCTGTCAGAAACTTCAATTGTCAATTACTCATCACGCAAGAGAGATGCCCAATAGCACCTATTTTATGATGAATTAACCCCTATAATATATGACAAAATGACCAAATCAAGTTCATTGCTGTTATTACAATAACCAGCTAAATGATGAGCAGGTAGACCAAGCCACTTCTATTTTAACATTCAATAAAGGACCATCCCAATTCATAAAACTTGGCAATACAAACGTTATTATTACTACTTTTCTCTTGATAAATTCATCTTTCAAAGAAATCGATGTATGTCTATACTTAGTTATTAACATAATAACAATAATAGAAGAAACGACAGTAATAGATGAGAATGAAGTCGAATTAGAGCTAATTCATCAATAATGAGGACTATAATAATTTCTGACAGAAATAAATCATGTATGTTTTATAAATAGACCTTTTGGCAATTACTGCAATCTGGACATCCACGGATGACTCCTCGAGGAAGACAAGCCCTAGAGGACAAAGTCTGCATTGACATTTGTATGTAAGATACCAACCAGAATTCAGTGCACTAAGAAATTTAAGAAAACTTGTGCTTTGTATTCAAAATGTAGACATAAAAAATAAAAATAAAAACATAAACCAATTTGAGACTGACTTGATCAAGCCGCTCACAGTCAGAGTCTTCTTCTGAATGGTTCTCATACTGTCCATAATTAATCCACGGTCTTCTTCGAAGGGATCTAGGAACCTTTGCAGTTTCACGAACTTGAACATCATTTTCCACCTGAGTTGATGGTGATTCAGAAGCACTTGTTGAGGCGGAACAACTGATCATGTTTTTATCATCTTGTTTTTCATTGTTTTCTACCCTCTTCAGAGAGAAAGATGTATATGACTCAAAACCTGGCGGAACTGATGGAAAATCATCATTGTCTTCTTTAACACATATTCTCATAAGCTCAGTCCCCATCATAACCTCATGCACAAAGGCAATAAGAAATAATGTCCCTGGTTTGTCTTCCCTGCGCGAACTAAGGAGTCAGCATAAAACCATAATCTGCTCACCCACGCCAGCTCAATAAAAAATTAATTTGGATTTTATTAAACATACTTTGATAAGAAGAGTACTTATGAAGTGAAAGACGTAGAGTTTGTGGGTTCTCTGCACTTCCACTGCAAAGTAGCAGGAAATCAAATCAACGGAAGCTAATTCAAGGTGCCGGTAACTTCATAAATTGTTAGAATACATCAATCTGAAATAAGTCAAAATAAACAAATAGAATCAGCTCAGATAATGAATCATCATGCAACATATCTTCACTTTCAATACTTTATTTACTATTTAGTCAAAATTGTTATCCTCTCTCAGCTAAAACTCTAACTATTTTCAATAAAGCTATTAGCATTCGTCAATCAGAACGGTAGATCTGAAAGCAAAGGCATATTGAAATTTCAATATGTTCTTTTTTGTTATTATTCTTGTTGAATCGAATAGTAAATAATAATAATAATTGATTAATGAGGAACCAAGCTTAATGTAGAAGTGTTCATAATCTAAATGCACGTGACAACAAGCATTCTTGATCTCTCTCTCAATTATCCCTCTTTGAATGTTTATATACTTTTTCTCAGAACCAAATCCCTAGCTCACTACATTTCAACAGCCAGATCATGAGATAATTTCGAAAAAAAAAAATAGTAATCACTGACAGGATTCCAGGTATAACCTAAAAGATCCTGTAAAATATGTTCAAAAGAATCTCACAAACTATGGCTGCCATTACCTGAACTTAACAATAGAGATGCATAACAGACTAAAACAAACATCATTATAAACTCACTGCAACAATATTATTTGCAAATATTAAATGAATAGACACCAATCAAAAACTAATAATTAATACTAATTAATAAAAAAAAACCTTAGTCAATTTTACTTTAATCAAGCGATTCTGTAGTGATTAGCTCTAATCCTTACAGGAAAGAAAAGACCACATCCTATCAGGAGTTACCTTTACGAAATCTTGGAGGAATTGCGATTTTCTATTGCACGGTTCAATACATGGAAAATTGGGGTTAATACAATGGAATATCGATAAAAAAAAAAAAAAGTAAAAAATCGAAGTTCTATAGATGGCCGGTGGTGAGAACGATGAGCGAGAAAATTTGAAGACAAAGTGCAAACTCTACAAACCCTAACAAGATGGGGGAAGAAGACGATGAAGGAAGCAACATAGATAAATCTGTATCCTCTACATTAATGTCTAGATGAAATTTTTTTTCCCTATCTTTTGAGTTTTTTTTTTTGGTCAACTTTATTTAGGGGTAAACTTGCAATAGTGCGTAATTTGTATAAAGTATAGCCCAAGGACATTTTCGGGTTTTTGTATCTTTCCGTCTTTGCCGTCACCTCTAAGCCTAACCAATCATCATAATAACTAGCAATACTTTTTTTCATGTATATCTTTTGAAACAGTTACTTATACTATAAATTATACATTTTTAATTATAATATTAAAACTACGAACATTTTAGAGTTTTAAATTATAAAATCTTGAAATATTCAGTATTAAATAGTTTTACACTAGTATGCAATTATAGATTCATATGTATAAGAAATTTACTCACTTGTATAATATTTATTTTAAAAAATATATCAAAGGTGGCATATTAATGAATCACTAAGTAAGTAATGTGAGTGTGTGAATATTAAGTCTACTTATAATAACACTTTTAGAGCATATTATGATGGATTCTTTAACTTAATTTCGTGGGTATAATAATGTTATATACATTTAAACCTTTTGTTAATAAAACTCACTCCAATGATAAATTTATTAAAGTGGGTATTTAATCTAATTTTTGAAAATTTTATAGTCCATCCTATATGTTATACTTTTGTTTATATGTTTTTATTTAAAGTTGAAAATCGGACCGAACAAATTTTAAACAATATTACTTGTATCAGCATTTATGTTTGTATGGGCAATGCAAACTCATTATCATCCTCTTTAAACAATAATGCCTGACATTAATCAATCTAAATCATTTTCATTAAACATGGTCATATCTAATAAATATTTATTTTTATTTTACTTTAAATTAAAAAACAAAAATATATAGTTGAGATTTGTTTTAATAAGCAAAAATCATAATAAATCATGATTACAAGAAAAAACTCGTTTAAAAATTTAATAATGATATCACTTAATTATCTATGGTTTATTTGACTATACTTAAATTTACTCCTTTTTTATTATTTTTATATGTAATAAAAATGGATGAGTTACATATTAGTTACAATCAATAAAATAATATTATATGGTCGTCCATCATTAACTATTAACCAAATGGTTTAACTCCAAGATTTATCATATTCTTAGTTGGGCATTCATGTCGACCACATTTAGTGGACTACTTTTGACTAATTACATTTGGTCGTCTGCATTGACCATCCTTAATCGATCACTCTAGGCTGACCACCTTTCGTCGTCTATCTTTTGGCTGACCTCTTAGACGTATCACCTATAGCTGACCACCATGTTCAACCAATTACAGAATGGTCAAATTAACATAATGGTAATCATGAATCAATGTTGATTAAGGTATGTTTGATTCGTAGGCCGACAAAAAGGTAAAAGTTCATAATAACCACTATAAATAATGCTCAAAGGTATGACTTTCAAACACATACATCATTGCATTAATATTATATCAATCAAGCGTGTAATGACTTTAGCATCGGAGTACATTCTGTAGGTATTATCCTAGTAGTTTGGACATATATGAGACTTTTAATGGACAAGACTTGGACTTTGTATGACATATTGAAAACTGAGCAGTTGACCTTAACCCCACACTTGAAATATTTTGGTGCCCACTGTGGGGCTAAGTGATCAACTTGAAAAACCTATGGTAGCCACAAGGAACATGACAAGTAACATAGTTGTGGAGGAACAAGATCAGTTGTATAATGAAATTCAATCATTTAACCCCAACCTATTGGTTTTATTCAACCTCTACTGCATGGTCTTAGTCGAACTCAAGGACATAATGACCTCTTTCGGCTTCAAGTTCGTCTCGACCTCATTCGGTCTTAACCTGTCGAATTCTCAATCAATAGCTCGGGAGTTCGGCCTCATGTGTCTTTGCCTCTTTCGACTTTAACCTATCAACTTTTTAGTTGTCAGCTTGATTGTTCAATCTCAAGGGCACCCTGGCCTCTTTCAGCCTCAACTTGTTGACTTTTTTAGTTTTTACAACTCGCTTGTTTGACCTCAAGAGCGTCTTGGTCTCTTTTGGCCTCAACCTGCCAACTTTTTAGTCTTGAAAACTCGGTCGTTTGGCCTCAACATAGCCTCATTCGGCTTCATCGTCTTAGCCCCTTTTGGCCTCAATAGCTAGGCCATTCGTCCTCATTTATTATGTCTTGGTCTTTCGATCGTTTGACCTCTAGAGCATCTTGGTCTTGGCATCAACTTTTTAGTCTTGACAACTCGGTTGTTCGGTCTCATTTGCATCTTGGCTTTTGTCGATATCGACCTTTTGATTTTTCAGTTCATAGCTCGGTTGTTCGATCTCAAGAACGTCCTTACCTCTTTTGGCCTCAACCTATTGACTTTTTAGTATTGACAACTTGCCCATTCAGCCTCAAGAGCATCTTAGCCTCTTACAACCTCAACCTGTCGACTTTTCAATCTTAATAGCTCGGTAGTTCGACCTCAAGAGAGTCTTGGCCTCTTACAACTTCAACCTGTTGACTTTTCAGTCTTGATAGCTCGGCCGTTTGGCCTCAATATAGCCTCACTTGGCTTCATCATCTCAACTTTTTTTGGCTTCAACAGTTAGGCCATTCAACCTCATCTACATCTTGGCCTTTTGGTCGTTCGGCATCAAGAGTGTTTCTACCTCTTTCGACCTCAACCTGTTAACTTTTCAGTCTTAACAACTTGATCCTCTGGTCTCATTTACGTCTTGGCCTTTTTCTACCTTAACCTATTGACTTTTCAGTCTTAACAGCTCGGCTGTTAGACCTCATCTACATATTGGCCTCTTTTAGCGTCAACATGTCAACTTTTTAGTATTGATAGTTTGACTGTTCTGCCTTAAGAATGTCTTAGCCTCTTTTGCCCTCGACCTATCAACTTTTCAGTCTTGACGGATCGGTTGTTCGACCTCAAGAGCGTCTAAGCCTCTTTTAAGTTCAACTTTTGACTTCTCATATTGGAAGCTTGCCCAATAAGCCTTAACAAGAGCTTGGTCTCTTTCAGTCTTAACCTGTCGACTTCATTCTTGATAGCTCGACCCCGTTCAGGCTTAGCCATTCAGTTCAGTCATTCGACATCAAGCAGTTAACCCCAACCTTTTGACCTTAATATCTAACTCGAGTTCATTCTTGAAAGCTTGGTCTTGCCTTGTTGGCCTTACTTTCTTGGCCAAGGCAATCAACAGGTCGGTTAAGGAAAAGTTCCCCAAGTGAACCCCTACCCACCCTTCAACTGATGGATCAAGGACGATGTCCCAACCATCTATACCATAATCAAATTTCCTTTTTGATTTTATTTTGTATGTGTTCATTCGTAAGACAAATTAATGTTTCTTTATGGGTTTGTTGTGAGACATTTTCAAGATAATACAATCTTTCACTCTCTCTATCACTAGCAATCTTCTCATTAGAATGGATGTTCTTATAAATATAATGAATTGGGTAAAACGAGACAACACAACTATGTGATTTGGTTACCTTGGTGATGGAGAGAAAATTACAATTCAATGTAGGAACAAATAAAACATCAAGAATTAATAAGGAGGGTGAAAGAATATAATACTTATACCTTCAATAGGAAATGATACGTCATTGGCCTTAATAATAACATTTTTAGAACAATTAGGACAAAAATTAGTAAATTTATGAGGATCACAAGTCATACGATGAGTAACATCTGAATCAATTATCAATCACTACCCCTAGTAACAATAGAAATATTAAGTACCTAAATAGGTTACAAATCCGACAACAGTAGAAATATGACTCTTTCGAAGCTTGGAAGTCCCATAATCATGTTTCTCTGATTGATTTTTATCAGAAATTTAGAAATATTCAATAAAATAAATAAACATTAATTTCTATATTGTAGAAAATATCGATGTTTAACTCTTGATACCATATAAAAAGGTTTAAATAATATTTTTGATGTATTATTTTAAAGAATAATTGTAATATATATATATATATATATATATATATAAGACTCTTATTTATATATATATATATATATATATATCAAAATTAGAGAAATTTAATTATCTAATGTTTATTAATAGAATATTTAAATATTTTAAGAAATGAAATGTCATATTATGTTTTACATATGTATAACTAATTTTCATGTTTGGATAATTTTTTTTAAAATTTATAATTTATATATAATAACAAATAAAATAGAAATATAAAAAATATAAAAATATGTAGAATAAGGGAATTCCGTTGTTATAAATAAAGATTTTCTTTTATGAGCACTCTTTGTTAAATTGTTATTTTACTTTTGTAACCTTGCCCAACGAGATACCTTCATTTACATCATATTTAATTTTAATAATTCACGCAGGAATAATGTAGAAGCTTTTTATTAAAGAAGAATAGGGAACAAAAAGTTAAAAAAAGGAAAATTTGTGAGTTTCATCATATTATATTCTCACTTTAGTCATGATTTGAGAGGGAACGTGTAAATAATAATTTTTAAATATTAAATAATTTTCCACAGTATGTATCTTCCAAAAAAAACTTTTTTAAACAACAGAGTAAAAAACAACTAATAAATTGATGTATGGACATTATAATATAATTTACTTATTATTTATTTCACTCAATTTTTATAAATAACATATATTTTTCCTTCTATTTCTGCATTTTAACTTTTTGTTATCTCTATTGTTAATAATTGTAATTCGCGACCATGGTAATTCTGTTTATCGTCTCATTTTCATACAACAAGGAACTTTGTACTCAAATGTTTCTCAAATAAAAGCTTTGTAGATTTTATTTCTATAAAATTTTAAATTGTTGATTTTGTTTTTTAATTTTTTAAAATTAAATTATTTTGGTTTACCAGTGATATATAATAACATAAAATATTAATATATTTGTCAAACTAACAAGTGTTAATTATTGAAATTATTATCACTTTCGTACATATACTATTCTTATTACCAATTGCTTTTGTTAAAGCTAAATAGAAGTCTAAGTTAAAAACATTCAATAATTAAAACTATAAAAACATTCAATAATTTAAGCTAAATAGATTTTTCTAATTTTAGAAGACGAAAGGACTAAATCAATAATTAAAAAT